GTAGACTTCTGACACAGGATTGTCTTGAGGCACAAGGCTGGGGAGGGTTACAGAAAAATTTCTGCTGCTCTGAAAGTCCCAATGAGCACAGTGGACCTCCATCATCCAGAAGTGGAAGATGTTTTGGTACCACCAGCTCTTTCTAGAGCTGGCCGGCCATCTAAGCTGAGTGATCGGGGGAGAAGGGCCTTAGTCAGGGAGGTGATCAATAACCTGATGGTCACTCTGTCTGAGCCCCAGTGTCCTTCTGTGGAAACAGAACAACCTTACAGAAGGACAACCATCTGTGCAGCCATCCACCAATCAAGTCTGTATGGTAAAGTGGCCAGACAGAAGTCACTCCCAGCCTGGAATTTGCAAAAAAGCATCTGAAGGACTCTCAGACCATAAAAAACAAAATTCTCTGCTCTGATGGGACTAAAATTGAACACTTTGGAATAAATGCCAGGCGTTACAATTGAAGAAAACCAGACAGCGCTTATCACCAATATAAGACCATCCTTACAGTGAAGCATGGTGATGGCAGCATGATGCTGCAGGGATGTTTTTCAGCAGCAGGAACTGGAAGACTAGTCAGGATAGAGGGAAAGATGACTGCAGCAATGTAAAAAGACATCCTGAATGAAAACCTGCTTCAGAGTGCTCTTGACCGCAGACTGGGGTGACGGTTTATTTTCCAGCAGGACAATGACCCAAAGCACACCGCCAAAATATCAATAGAGTGGCTTCGCAACAACTCAGTGAATGTTCTTGTCCTTGAGTGGCCCAGCTAGAGCCCAGATCCAAATCCTATTGAACATCTCTAGAGAGATCTGAAAATGGCTGTACACCGTCGCTTCCCTTCCAACTTGATAGAGCTTGAGAGGTAATTGTCATTATGGGGTATTGCGTGTAGAATTTTGATAAAATAAATGAATTTAATCCATTTTGGAATAAGGCTGTAACACAAAAAAAAAAATTTGAAAAAGTGAAGCGCTATTAATACTTTTCAGATGCACTGTATTTAAGGTGAAATCGAAAAGCTCTCTCATTATCCATAGAAAACAGTGATTCCAACTCATTTAAAGTCCAAACAACTATGAAAAAAACATCCTTTAAATCACACATAAACCTTCAGTAATTTAATTGGAATATTATGAAGCTAAGAGGATAACACAAATGCATGAAACAAATTTATTCAACAGTTTCTTCTCCTCAATGTCAGTATATAGCACTGTGCTCTTTATGCGTGCTGTGCTTGGTTGCCCTGCTGATACGGGTATACATCATTGAACAGAGCTCATTATGGCACCCTATACTAACACTGAGGAGAAGAAACTGTTGAACGAAGTCATTATTTTTGTTTTATGTCCACCAAAAAGTAGTCTTGTAGCCTAATATTATTCAGATTGAACCACTGAAGGCATACAGTCTGTTTTGAGGATGTTTTCTTGGTATTTTTAAAACTTTGAATGAGCTGGGTCCATTAACCACTGTCAAGGGTTTGGAAAAACATAAGGGGTTTCTTGAGGTGAAGCATCCCTTTCATTTATTTTCATAGCTGCATATTACTCGTAAAGAAAGTGAAGATTTTAAAGACTATTAAGACTTTATTTAAGACTTTTATTTACTTTAAATAAAAAATAATTCCAATTCGTATAAAACATGATTGATAATAGCCAATAAAATACAGTAAAAAGCTAAACTAACCTAACAATAGACTTCATTTCCATTCTAAAATCATTTCTGGACATTCTTTCTGATCTTCAGTAGATTTTATTTCCTGTGGTGTTTTGAGCTAAATTAAACCTCCTCAGCCTTCAGAATAAAAATTCGTCCTAAACTAGAAAAATTTTCTTTTTATCTTTCTGCAGAGACTTCAATGGGACTGTTGCAGTTTGAACTGGCTCCCCAATGAAAGCAACAGACAGACCGAGTTACAGTCAATTTTCAGGGACGGAACTTTTTTTTGAAGTGAACGCATTGATATGAAGCCACTGGCTTTACTTCAAGCTAAAGGCAAGGGGGTTACTTTGTACCTAGAGTTTATCCCACTGTAGGGTCAATAGGATAAACCTTCCAGGCAAGTTAAGGCTGGGGATCAAATGCAATACCAAACATTGATGCATATATCTGGGAGTTGATACAACACAGAGGGACTACAGAAAGAACAAGAGCACAAACAAATACACTCACCGAGACTGTCGAACTGGGGGTGTTTGTTCCATAGCCAGAGGACGGCAGAGAGGCGAGAGACCAGCGACGACCGTCAGTCCTGAAAGGTGAGGAAAAGGTGAAAATCAGTTCTTTATAAAACTGTTGAAATTCTTAGAACATTCAGACAATGAGTGAGTGTGTTTACATGCACATTCAGCTTAAGTTGACAACTAAGCCATTTTCTTTTATCACAACTCAAGCTTAAACCAAGAGCTAGATTTTTGAGTTTCTCATTGACTTGTCGCAATACTCTACCTGGGTTTAGATGATATATTAAACATGAAAATATACATAAATTAACAAATCCATTTGCATATGCAAACCTTTATATTTTGAAGTCAATACTTGCACATAAATTGATTTATTAATTAAGTATTCTGAACAAACTTTATTTTCTTTTACAGCTGAATAATATATTATTTGTGTGCACTTTATGTGCAATTGTCACATTATAAGATTACATTCTTCAAATAAATATTAAAAGATAAAGAAATTATTACATTTTATAAATTTATTTATTATTTATACAATGATGATCATGTTATTTTATATTAGATTTTTCAAGTTCTGTACTTGAATACTGTTAGACTCCCCAGAAAATTAAAGCACTTTTAAATAATGTGTTTTTTGCTTGGAATTTATCACAATTTATGCAAAAGAACTGCATAGAAAACATCTCGATCAGCCCAGTCGATCTAAATAAGTGAAATCTTTCCAAACAGAGCCATTCAAATCCCATCTGGTGAAATTATATTCATATCGCAATATATCATAGCAAAACAAAAAAGCGCAATATAGTAATATAGTATATAGTAGTATAGTAATATTTTTTTTATATCGTGCAGCCCTAGTTTCTTTGCCGGGTAATTGGTTTGCATGTAAACCGTAACAAAAGATTATTTTAATAAGCTGATTTTTGTAAGTTATTAGTGTATTAGTGTGCATGTAAACATGCTCAATAATTAAATACCACACAATCAGAGCAAGTAAAGCACCACAGATTTATCCCATGTAAAAAAAGAAAAAATTGGCAAGAAAATTTTGATGAAGATGATGCTGTGCAACCTGCATATGAGAGCCATAAGCATATCTGATGATGGCTAAGCTGCTTGTGCGGGACCTTACATACACAGTCTACAGTTGAAGGTTTCCATGTTGGCAATAACAAGTAATCTTTATTGAGCACTAAATCAGCATATTAGAACAATTTATGAAGAGCCGCATGACACTGGAGACTGAAACCAGAAAATTCAGCTTTGCCATCATAGGAAAAAACCACATTCTAAAATATACTTTTAAGAAATGTAAGCATATTTACATTTCCAATATAGCCGTTTATATTGATTTTAGCAAATAAATTAAGCTTTTCTGTGCATACAATTTCTTAATTAAAATTAATTTAAATTAATTATTTAATTAATTAACCCACCCAAGACATTTAAATGATAGTATCCATACTTAAATCATTTGAATCAATATTGAAATCATTTTGATTTGACAACATACCAAACAAATTATTTTCAGTTTTAGAATTAATAATTAATTAGTTAATTCTATTAAATAATTAATAGAATTAATTCAGAATTATTAGCCCCTCTGTTTATTTCTTTCCCAATGTCTGTTTAACGAAAAGAAGATGTTTTCAACACATTTCTAAAAAGAATATTTTTAATAACTCATTTCTTATAACTGATTTATTTTATCTTTGCCATGATGACAGTAAATAATATTTTACTCGATATTTTTAAGACACTTCTATACAGCTTAAAGTGACATTGAAAGGCTTAACTAGGTTAATTTGGTTAACTAGGCAGGTTAGGTAATTTAGGCAAGTTATTGTATAACGATGGTTTGTTCTGTAGACTATTGAAAATATATATATAGCTTAAAGCGGCGAATTATTTTGACCTTAAAAAAGGTTTATAAAAAATTAAAAACAGCTTTTATTCTAGCCGAAATAAACCAAATGAATCTCCAGAAGAAAAAATATTAACAGACGTAATGTGAAAACTTCCTTGCTCTTTTAAACATCATTTGTGAAATACTTTTAAAAGAAAAAAAATTCAAAGGGGGGCTAATAATTCTGACTTCAACTGTATATCTTGTCAACAAAAATAAACAAACATGAAAAGGCAAAAAAAAAAAAAAAATCAAATGATGAAAAAATTGATATGTCAAGCACAGAAGTATGAAAGTGGAAACTTGTGGAGCATTTCTGAAGACTGAATAACACTTCAAAGCACACAGTCAGGCTGTTTGTTTCGAGCTGGCTGAATGAGATAGAATGATTAATAATTGATAATTTCGATACATCAATGAAGTTGTCTGAGATGTTTTTAAACATATCTGACAGTCAGCTCTAATGAAACAGACACATGATATTCGATGTAGACGGCCATGCTGGAAGCAGACACAGAAAACAATGTTGTAAGAGAAGTGGGTGATTATTACCTGTCAGCCCTGTGTCCATGGCTGTATGGGAGAAAGTAAAACATTAAAAAGTGAAGCTACTGTAAGGTGATCTATGTGTCTCTCTGTGTGTGTACTAGCAGATTCGTGCAATTCATAGATCTAAACGTGGTTCTAGTATTTAAAAGCGCTATTATCAGTTTGTCCGTTAGGTGGCAGTGTAGTAACAGGAGCGATTTGCACTGGATGATGACTCAATGGCTGACATTCAAACGAATCCTTTTAATTAAGCCTGGGGTCATCAGCTCTGTGTGTTCTTTCCCAGTTGTTAAAGCATTACCATCTTTTGCTGCTCAATTACCAATTCAGATTTACTCATTAACATTCCCGGTGTCATTATTCAGAGCCACAGTGAAGGATTATGCGATTTTACAAATTAATTGAAAGCGAGGACTGTAATAACCAGCAGATGAGAAGCATGAGACGACGATATTTCCAAGAAGAGCAAAGAGCTATTACTAGCTCCGAACTTGCTCTAATTTTAATTCGAAAATGTTTTAAAAGTTATTACAACTTGTTTTGCAGACTATGCAATATTTTAGAGTTGAATGTTTTGCTTGTGTAGATGCTTTTGAACTGAGGTAGTGATGTCTCTCACCTTCGAGCTGGTACAAAAGAGAAGTGGGCTGCAGTGTTGGGGGAGAAATTGCGAGGGCTGTCCAATGGGCTGCTTCCTGAAATAGAACAGAAATGTGACATTTAGGGGGTTATTCACAACAACCAAGTCACAGACATATTTTATTTTTAATATTTACATATTTAAATGCACCAATTTTGTAACAGCATACAGTTCACCGGAAGCGTTTGACCCAGGTTACTGAAAAATTAAAAGTCTTTCTGCATGCTTCTGTGCATATCTATTAAAAAACGGAAGAAATGTTTTTATTGACTTTTTTTTTTTTTTTTTTTGGATGCAGAAACTTACTGAATTTTGTTCAATTTCTCAAAAAAAGGATACATTCTGAATCTCAAGCAAAAGCAATAGATTTAAGCTGTAAAATCAATAAAACTTTTTTATGTATTTGATTACACAATGTATCATTTAATTATTCTAATCGCATATGAAATTTCACTGAGAAATTACTCCTACTAAAATGTTGAAGTTCTTGTTGTGTTAAATGCAAAAAATAAATAAATAAAAATAAATAATAATAATAATAATAATTAAATAAATAAATAGCTAAGTCTTTAAATGTCACTTTAAGCTGTATAAAAGTGTCTTGAGAAATATCTAGTAAAATATTATTACTGTCATTATGGCAAAGATAAAATAAATGAGTTATTAGAGATAAGTTATTAAAACTATTATGCTTAAAATTGTGTTGAAAAGATTTTCTCTCCATTAAACAGAAATTGGGGAAAACATAAACGGGGGGTGGGGTTGGGGGGGCTTATCAATTCAGGTGGCTCATTAATTCTGACATCAACTGTATATATATATATATATATATATATATATATATATATATATATATATATATATATATATATATATATATATATATATATATATATATATACATACAATATATATACACATTTATATATATACACATATATCTGTATACAGCAAGATTGGTGACAATACTTTGAATATATACACACCTTTTTGCAGTTTATCCTACATTTAATGACATAATTTCATAGATTTAAGTTTTTTTTGCTCCATCTTAAGAACTTTTATGACCTTAAACTTTACAAGGACAAATACAAACTTTTCAAGACCTGCAGAAACTCTGCCACTGTTATAACCAGACTGTTAAAATGAGAAAAGACCATACTTCAGGCCACCTGGAAAAATATTATGCCCATCGTAAGTAAATGGAATTGGCCTACGGTTCTCACCTCTTCTTTACTGCTGATCTTTCCCCTTTATTTATTCATCAAAGCCCTTTTAAGATAACAAAACCCTTCAGAAGGGTGTACCTCTTATGTAGGCCAGAGGTAGAAGGATAAAACACACTTTGATCACGGGTCTTTTCTTTTCTCCTGCACAGCTCTGAGAATAGATTAGCGCTTGGAAAGTGAAGCACTTACAGTGTTTAAGTGCTTTAGACAACAGGCCTCTCCATTATAAATGCCTCAAGTGCAGTGATATTGCATAATGAATGTTATTTAATGATTTGCAGGCCATGAGCAAAGAATCACCTTTTGATTAACTCAAGCTCAAATTCATATTCAAGGGATTTGGCCATGAAAGCTCCCTTTATTTCAATTCCAGTGGCATTTTTATGGCAAGAAGATTTCACGTCATGGACCCTTTAACAATGTGGTGCATTTTATAACACAATTTAGAATGAATTACGTAGAGTATGGTTTATAGATTAAGACGTGCATCACTGCTTTGACTAATGACACAAGAAAGAAAGAGAGAAAATTTGATCTAAATAATTCTATTCCAAGTCTTGTGTGAATAAAGGAAGCAAAGATCCAGGTATAATAAATCAATCCAGTCAATCCGAGCAATGGGGCGCTCCTATCTGGACTATGTGGTACGGCTCGGGTCACAATCCCCAATGCATTAATCATGCATTAATGCATTCGTTGAGCAGCCTATGCCAAATCTTAAATATTAATGAGAGCATAATTCTTTGTCAGGAAGAGACTGTAGGAACAGCTGCGCACAGCTGGATTGGGATATGGAGCAGTGTGATTCTGTCATGGAGATGCATCCACTTAAAGTGGAATCCAGTCACGGAGTGTCTAGTAGAGGGCACAATGCTGCTCAGCACAGTGAACCACCTGCTTATTTTTCATCACAAAAACTCGAGTGGATGCAGGTTTAGCCAAAAAGAAACAGAGACTTGCTCATATGAGACACAGCTGAGATATGAAAACCAATCAGCACCCTGTTGAATTACACATACTACATTCACACCACAGCTGAATGTGGAACTAATCACTTTTTTGGATAATGGTGTGAAAAATCACACAGAATCTGACACTTTTGAACCTTCACATGAGGAAATAAATTGCATAAGATATATATACTTTTAAAACACTAATTTAATATGAATACAGAAGAATTCATGAGGTGTTCTGCCAACCAAAAGATGTGATCCCATTCTTCAGTTAGCACTGGGAATATATGTGACCAACCAGAATAAATGAAGATGAAGTGGTGAGTGCATGCATTTTTGTTCTTATGTCAAACATCCAAACATACAAACGGCTTTTCCACTATTGGGTGAACAGTTCTCTTGCTTAGGTGTTCCATTCTGTGCCGATCTGGGCCACTCAGCCAGTCATACGGTTTCATGAAAATTGAGTTTTTGGAATGCAATACTAATGCGCCAGTCCCTGTCTTGGTAACACGAGTTTAATGTAAATAATATTTCTGTTCTTGGGATTCCACATTTAATCTGATGTACACTTCATTAGCTACGTTTTCATTCACCTATTTTTATGCACATTTTGGATATGCGCAAAAAAGAAAAAAACAGTTGATGGAAATGCCAAGATGCTCAAAAATTTTTGAAAAGCACATAAAAAAATAAAAAGTGATGGAAACACTTTTAAGGAACAAATTCCAGTATGCACATAAAAAAAATCATGTGATTTTGTTATAAAAGATCATGTCATGATAAAAATGTGTGTGAATGGATAAACCAGCAGGCTGACCAGACTAAAACATCTAAAATGTTGTTTTGGTCATTGTAAAGTGCCTTAACCATTTCAGTATTAGTGTTATTATATTATTAATCACCTCCAAAATCAAGAGCATCAGTGCTCTGCATCTCACGCCTTCAAACGCCACCGCGCGTTCACTGCGTGTCAGGATTGCCTTCAGAAGCACAAGTCGTTTATTAAATGAAGAAAAGATTCACGCAGCTTCTCCAACCACAATACATTCCAGTTTTACTGTTAATAATTAGTGCCAGTTAATCATGAGGAAGTTATTTTGTTCACTTTGACTCATTAGATAGAAACGCTGCTTTTTTCTCACATCTTTTATGCAATATTCCAGTTTTGCATATAAAGTTAATTAGCATTTTTGGAAGGAAACATAGCAACTGAAAACAAGGATCAAGGGTCATGGGATATCTTCAACATGCTATGTTGCATCAGTAAAAATGCAAACTGTACCCCAAATATTCAAATAGGGCTTGGATTGTACAAATGTGAAATTATATGTGCTGTGAAATCTGAAGCTATTGTCGAAACATCAGGTTTACCTTGGTTTTAGAATGAACCAGCATTAACTATTTCTAGTGCGAAAACCCCTAAAGAGTCTTGCATTAATGCAATGACACCAGCCTTTTGTAGCAAAAAAAAAAATCTTTTTTTTTTCTATGAACTCATTTATTTATTTTTTTTTTATGCTCATTTGTTTTGTTTTGCAAAGACCAATCTGATGAACTCAAAGAAATAGCAGCATCATATCAGCAGAGCTAATCATTTTTTTCAGTTATCTTCCTACCTAAAGTATAATGGCACCTCACAAAGCACTGCGGTATTTAATTCTTGTGCTGCTGGTGTCATAACCTGGCAAACAGCTTCCTGAAACAGCCTGTAATGAGTGCTGTGTGGCAGTGCTCACCCCCTGTTGATTGTGCTCAGTTGAGTTTGAAATAATTTAGCTTCCGCTGCTTCTGTTGGCAGTTGCATTAGAATGTTGCTAATGGCTCTGAAGTGCTCAAAACGAAGCCGCGTTTGGGTTAATGTACCCTTTTAGATTCGTTCATTTAAATATTGCAGTCACACAGCTTTGAGCGATGCAGCACAAACAAAAACAAACCGTTTCCAGCAAAACTCATGTGGTTTGTATCAGGACTGAGCACAACATAATTATTCATCTTCTATATTTATAGTGTGGCATCAAACTAAGCAATGTTGACTTTTTACACACAATGGTTTAATTCAGTAAATCAGTAAGTGGATGGATTGGCAAGCAGACGTCAATGATTAGGACAGTTAGCACATTACTCAATAATTTTAGGTCACTGAACAGCATGAAAATGGTGTGGTTTGTGTGCACTCACAATCTGAGATCAGTTATAAACATCTCTTTAATCTCTCTCTCTGCACACAGAAAGACCAAGTCTGCTGGCTTTGACAGCTGATCTCTTCATTTTGCTTTCATGCTCAGATTTTCCACAATGTGCAAGTGACACAAGGGATACACCCACTGCAGCTACAGCACTTTTATTAAGTGTTTATCACCAGCTACAGCTTTATTAAAGCATTACTGTGACAACTGTGACAGGGTGCGTTTGGAAAGTATTAACTGTTCCTCTTGTTTGATTCTGAAAGAAAGAGTAATTACTTTATTATTTATTTAGACACTAAAATGTTTTAATACTCATTTTAGAATTATAAAACATCATATAATAAATCTATTTTAATAATAAAAATGTTTTAAACACTAAACAAACATATTCTAAAACATTGCAATCACTCATTGCCACATATCTGTAAGCTTGTAACATTTTAGGTTCAATTTAATAAAAGTAGCTATAGTTAATCAATTACAGATCAATAACAATGAACAATTTCTAAGCAATTATTACATATTAATTTAATAAATAGATTAATTTCCACATATACACATATTTAACACTTTATTGTACATAGTAAAATGACCTAATGTATCATGGACAAACAATTTAGCATTGAACAACATTTTATTTATATTCGAGCACTAATGAATGCAGATGCAGGAAAATAAAATATTGTTCATTCATAATTAATGAATCAACTGAAATCAACAAACTGAGTGTAAGCAATTAGTTGACAACATCTGGTTTGGTGTTTGTGGTCATGGCCATTTTTGTCTCTTTATTTTAAAGGTTTTACTGCAGCATCCCCTCTATTTTGTACTGTAATATCCTTTCTTGCTTCTGTTTTAATAAAATGGCCAGCGGCGAAAGCATAAAACAACCATCATCATAACTCACTGCAGATATGGTGTTTTGTGGCCTGTGTTAGACATCACATTTTGCACAAAGTAAATCATATTAGAGTTCACTTAAAAAGCTTTCTTTAACCACAAAATATCTTTTCCACATTACAAATGGGTCACTATTATGGTTTCTGGCAAATCCCAGATGTGTTTTCACATTGGTTTCTTTGACTAATGGCTTCTTTTGGCCACCCATAGATTCTTTCCTTATGAAACTTACTTCTAAGAGACGCTCTTTAGCATAATTTTATAGCAGTTCTTCAGATTTATAATCTAAATAATAATCTTTAACTGTGGAGTTATTACTCATAATGAGCAATGTTTATTTTAATGATAATTTAATCCACAGGTAGAGGCCATAACTTCTGTAAAACAAAAGTATTTTCTTACTCCCATTTATACAACACACTGATCTTTAAAAAACTACATTGTTAGGTAAACACACTATTCAGTGGAATGCATAAATCCGATATTGCCTCATGGTATATAAAGAAAAAGGTTAATAAGAAATTTTTCAAACTTAGAATGACGTATTTCAGAGAAGACGGAAAGTACAAATCTGTCTGCATACAGATACTGAGAATGCATACTGAGAAACTGCATTACAAAATGTCAACTGCCAATCCGTTCATAATGGCCATGAATTAGATGAGAAATCCCAGTAATACATTAGAGTTACTCTATGGCAGACTGAGATTTGATGGTTGGTATGGAGTTATAATGTAATATTTTGTGAACAGCTGCCTGCAACACATTTCCTTTTTTCGACAAGATGTTCACCATGTGACGTGTGCACATTTTGTATAGTTTTGGTCCAGCGTTCATACTGCCTACATAGCCAGCTATCTACTGAGGCTGGATCCTCACAGAACAGAAAGCTCAATAAAAAAAAGACTGATATTATATTTAATTTAATAAAAATACCCATCAACAGTAAACAGTTTTTTGAACGTGAAGTTAAAGGATACACTTTAAAAAAGAAGTTGGTTAATCGCTTTACATATATTACATATATTGTGACTTGCATTTTGGGACCTTGATCTCTGCTCTGTCGACTTTTGATGTTAAAAATTCAATTCCAGAGTTTAACATAGTGACTTTTATTGACATTTTAGTAGTTTAAAATAATAAAATGCATAAGAAACAATTTACAGTATAGTGAAATAAATTTTGTACCGTAATTTACAACACCAACTCAACAATATATCACTTTAAAAAATGCTAATAAAAATCACTTTTTCAATCTTTTCAAAGTTAAAAGTTGTTTAAAAGCATAAATATAAGAATTAAAAAAAAAAAAAAACAAGAATCACCAAATACAGAAAACTGCTTGTTTACAGATATATATTTTTAGTGTAGCTTTGTATTTGTACAACGTTGGTGTTAGTAATACATGTAATACTGTATTACCAGTAGGTATGCTCACATTCAGTATTTTTAAAAGTTGTTTAAAACTTTGCTTATATGAATCAATAGAGTTATAAGTATGAAATTTAAAAACTATTTCTTTTGGTCAAGGCTTCACTTCAGGGTTTTGTGAAGAAGCATAATATGAATGTTATGTAGTCTATCTTGTACATGCTGACTACAAAGTGCTTAAAAACGGTTAAAATTGGGAAATCTCACACCTCCTACTCTATTTACTCTACAATCAAGATCTAACAGCAGCAAGCTTTTATTGTGTAGTCGGTTTGTGTCTAAGCAATACCAAGCCACCTGAAATATTAATGAGTCTTCAATCGATTTATGAGATATTAACAAAGAAGGCCCGTACCATTTAATGACCTAATAAAAGGGTTTTTGTGATGTTGTCTTATATAAAAGAGGGCTTGAATTGACAATGAAGTGTTTTAATCTGACTCATATTTTTGTGCATGTGCATAACATGCATTTTTTATGAAACGGCAGCACATGCATCAGTCACCATATTCAAAACTGGAGAAATACAAAATGATAATGTCACCAAAAAGTATAACTGCCATTGGCATATCCTACCGGTGCACAAACCTTTCCATAACAAGGGTTTTCAGTAAATAAATGATTAGTCTCATCCACTCACCAGTTCCTTCCATTCAGGTGATGTAATATATATGTAAACATGCATCATACATTGCAAAAAAAAAAGTGTTTCTCCTTAGAGTTTCTGTCTTGTTTCTAGTTCACACATCTAAAAAATTAGTAAATCAAGAAGCAATTTCTCGACTAATGAAAAATGTCTTGTTTTCAGAAATATAAAATAAAAATTAAGTTGAGTTTTTCCTTAAAACCAGCCAATGGGGTAAGCAAAATAATCATGTTTTTGCTTTAAATTAACATTACTTTGCTTACCCCATCGGCAGATTATTTAGCTTATCTTAAATAAAACTCAACCTAATTTTTACTTAATATTTTTCCAAACCAGCCGTTCTGCCATTAGCTTGAACTGTTAGCATAAAGCTAAGCAGCAGAGCAGGAATGTGTGCGTTGCGTAATAATTAACAGGGCACTAAACCTGTGGCCGTGCACAGAGAGCAATAAAACGACAACATGTCCAATAGATGAATAAACATAACCGTATTTCGAAAGACCATGCACCCATTGGCTAAATTCTCCATCAGTCAAACTAGAATTTAAAGTTACTGGCTAAAAGCAAGTGACTCACAGATAGCATATACAGTACGTCAAAATACTCGACTGCTTTGTTTAGATTTTAGAAACTTTAACTTTGACTTTTTATTGAGTTTGCGGTTTCATTTTATCTGTAACACTGTAAGCTATCACATCGTCTTGCATTTTACTACAAAGACGCTGTTTTCGTGCGTAAATAACATAGTAAACAATGTAAACAACAGGTCTCCGGAAGACACAGTGACATAAAAAAATGAATAGACAATCATATGGAATAAAAATTGCTGTCATAAATATTTCATGTAATTAATTATATAATCTGTAATTATAAAAACGTAAAGGAAAATGGAAAATACTCATATTTTTACACGGGTACAATTCCAAAATTTGCGATTAGAACAGTCACAGAAACAACATTTTCTTTGTCTGTTTGTATATGAATGATAAATTCATGATGGAACTCTTACCTTTCAAAATAAAATGTGATGTACAGCAATGCATGTGTGTCTTGTTATTATGATGATATGTACTCTATATCTAATAAGCGTTTTCTGTACAACTTACACAAATTTAGCAAATACATTCTTTAAAAGCTTCCCAACAACTAACGCACTGGCTGCTTAAGGGGTTGTAGGTTTAGACTGATGTATAGTTAGTCAAGATTACTCGCGTTCTTTTTTATGTAATCTATTCATAAACACTGCAATGCAAAAACAGCGCCCCAGTGTGTCCACGTCCTGATGCTGGCTATTAATTCTGACATATTTATCTGAAAACAAGCTAATATTTTTCTTTAGTATAAAAAATGTTTCTTGATTTAATAATTGTATGATATTTAGACAAGGAACGACAGAAAAACTCTACAACAAAAGCATGTTTTGCTGTGTGGTTTTCCTCAAGTGCAAATGTATTTTAGAATAGGGCCAAGAAAATAGTCACATTTTGTCATTTACATGCTTAAAGCAACACTTTTTTGAGGCTCATTTTACAACTCCCCATGAATATCAATGACGTTATCCCCTTCTTCGTTCCAGGTGGCCTATGCTGTTATGAAAATAATCACGTATTGAAATGCTCAGGTAAGATGAAATAACACTAGAACCACCTTCTGTCTGTGCCATCTGGATTTCTTTGCTAGCTTTCATCATTTTTGCTTTCATTCTCCCAATTTAAAGCTCTCTCTTCTACCAATGAGTAGAACACACTACAAAACCAAGCTTAGTAAATGCTCCTTAACTCTGTTTGTCATTTTGGATGATTTTACCACAATATTAAAGCAACAAATTCTCTTTTGTGGAGAATAAAACTTCTGCCAAGCTACAGCTTATAGCTGCCTATGGTTTCTGCCTGTTGTTTGTTATGCACTTCATATTTGGACGCACAAAGGAGCTCAAATGCATTCTGGTAAACATATTTGACATATATCTCTTACCTGGATGCCCGTGCAGTGGTGAATGGGGTCGAGGCAGCGTTGGAGACGTGCTGGATGTCACTATCAAACTTTTTCGGTTGCTCGTCCGACAGCTGCAAAAAAAAAAACAAAAAAAAACACACACACATAAAACTCAGTATGATCATTTGCCTCTTATTTGCCTCTTACATAATGCAAATTAATAACCAAATATACAACAATGCCAAAGCCCTTATTAGGAAGATGATATTTAGATCAAACTAAATGAAACACAAATACCAAATTGGAGAGTATGCCCATTCAGAAAGATGACAGACAGCAAATTGTGCAAATTATTGACCACTAAATGGAAGTTTTCTCCTTTATTCAGGTCACACAAACACACTCAGTTTAAAAGGCTGAAAGTGCACAGCATTATCTGCTCTCCTTCCATCTGACGCAAATGCTAAAAGCCTCCAGCCCAAGCTGACAGGGAGAAAAACGGCCACCTACAGCTCAGAAACTCAGCTCAAATGAACCTTGAGACCTCACGCTAGGACAATACAGCCTCACGCTCCATTGCAGAAAAGAGAGATGACCGGCTGCGCTTTCAAAGCTGCAAGACGGAGAGCGATGTGGTGAAAAGTAAAGGATGAGTGCTCTTTGATTTATTGTGAGAAAAATATCGACATAGCTGAGCGAACAGAAAGCCTAACTGTGACCTATGAGACATCACAGCGTTTCTAAAACCACATCTATGCCATGAAAAATATACAACACATCAGTATTTTGAGTTTGCAAACACACATTGTCATGGTTTTGAGATTTTCACATTTTTACAGTAAAATGCTGCATTTTTTTCTTTACAGACCATGAAAATGACGTCTGGATAATTACATGAATGCTTCTTGGTCCAAGCAGTGTTACAGAAGGAGTAACTATCACAGAGGAGACCTGCACCACTTTCACAGTGGCAGCCATCAGTCTGTGTGTAATGGAGGTTCAGAAGTGAGTAGAGTCACAGCAGGAGACATGGAGAGAAAGAGAAAGACCGGGGCGGGAGAAAGAAGAAAAGCGAGAAAGTATGAGAAAAATCGATAACTGACGAGGTAACGCTAGCACATTAATGCTTAAAGAAAGTCCATTCTTCTAAAGTAGCTGATAAGAAAGGATTTCTTTTGGTGGTGGATTAAGAGATTTTTTTATTACAAAGGATGTTGGCTTGAACGAAACCTCAAAAAAGTACTGTGGTGTTGTTTATCTTGTACACGCTGCACACAAAGTGCTTCGAAACAGTTGCGATAAAGAAATCTCCTCCTCACAGAGGCATGTATTTACTCTACAATAAATATCTAACAGCAGAACGCTTTTATTGTGCAGTCTGTTTGTGTCAAAGCCATTCTAAGCCACCTGAAATATTAATGAGCTGTCAATAGATTTATGCTGATTTTAACGATCAAGACTCGTAGCATTCAATGACCTAATAAAGCAGGGCTATCTAAAAGAGTACTTACATTGACAGTGATCTGCAGCGAGCTCAAGTCATACATTTTCAATGAGAACTGGTGACTTTAAGAGACATGAGTGACAACGGCCGCTGGGAACTAGATGTGGAAGTCTGTGGCAGTGCAAAAAGTTACGTCTCCATGCAAATATGTATTTTAGTGTAATCGTTTGAAGATAAAGCATCCATAGGCATATAAAACCCATTAGCATTTACATTTTACTAATGTGTCTTCCTTGGGTTCTATTTTATATTCATTATTAAATATATGAGAAATAATAACCAAAACACACACACAACTGTTTCTCTCAACTAGGGCTGTGCCATATTGAAAAAATCGAACATTGCAATGTTTTGTTTTTCTGCAATAAATGTTGCGATACGAACACAATTTCACCAGATGTTTTGAATAGCTTTATTTGAAAAGAAGTTAATAATTTAGATTGGGCTGATTTTGTATGGGCAAATCAATAAATAAAGAAAATAAATAAAGAAAGAAAGAAATCGCAAGTAAAATGATTAAAATAGAAAACATAAAAGTCCAATAAACAGTGCTTTATAATTTTCTGCAGAATCAAACACTGTTCAGGTAAAGAAATTGTATAATAACATGGAAATTGTAAATTACTGTCTTAAATGTAATAATTCAGTAAAATTGTTCTTCATTAAAGTTACAGATGTATTAGGGCTGGGTGACAAATTTGCCATCGGTATTTATTGACCGTACACCATTGTTAATGACGATTAAAAAAAAAGGTTTGGTATGGATTTTTGGTATGAAGGCTATAGTTTTATTAGAATGTGGCTGGTAAACACACGCCTTGAAAGCAATGCCTATAAGCTTAGGGTGTAAGTTTGTCATTTCCAATGGGAGCGTGCGATTTCCACAATGTGCATAAGGTGCGCAAGTGGCGCACAGATGACGTGCGCATTTTCCAGGTATATCTTGAAAAACATCAGAAATTTTATGAATGCCGTGAGCTTATCGCAATTCATGCCCATCTGCTTCACATTTTGCATGGAATATACACAATTCAGTAATAACGATAGACTAAATACCTCAGACAAACAGAGCGCAACCAAACATTGCAGTGCTTTTTACTTTTCTCTATAAACTTACATCAGAGCTGCAGCAATGGTTTGTCCGTTTGTCATTCTCTAAGAAAACGGTCACCTAGCACAAAGCGCATAGAAAATGGTGAAGGAAACCACACGCTCGCGCTTGACCAGGTCAGAATAACAACACATGCAAAAATGAGTGAACAGTGAGGAGATTGTAAATAAAAAAGGAATGTAAGGATGTCACCAGAGTGGCTTTTTGGTTTCTTTTCTTGTGGATCCTAGCCACAAGCTTCCCATCTAAAAGATTTTTTAGTATAGGGGTAATGTAGTCATCCAACTTTACAATTTGTAATGTTGCAATATGTATTTGAATAATGATAATGGACAGTGTTAATAAAGATTCCATACAATATAATGTGAGAGTTGACGCAGATGAATTTCAGTCTGGAAGATGGTACAAATTTTAAACCCGAGAGACAAAAATACTAAATTGACTAGCTTTAAAATTGAAATGAATGGATACTAACATCTCACCAAGCTTGAAATTAGGTTTGTATTTATTTATTTTTAAATAAATAAATAAATTTCATGCAGATTTCGTGTTATAGTTGGTGAAAATAAAAATGGTCCTTTCTTGTTTTCTAATTTAGGTCCTGATGGAAGGCCATTTTAATTCTCACCAGAGACACTTTCAGTAAAGAGCTGGTAATTTTACTTAAGCATGACTACTACAGAATATCCTATTCTACACACAAACCATCAGTACACAACACAGGGAACATAAGAACATGCTTAAACACAACCTGACAATTTACAAGAAGCTTTTATCTAGAAAATTACATATTGTTTATAGGTGAGCATGTGGGTGGATATTGACATGAATTAGCAAAAATGAACAAAATGAAAGTGCATTTTGGCATAAATTGGGCTTGGATGTGAAACTCCAGGAGGTATTCTGCTGGAAAGAGCTGCGCACACTCATTAAAACATCATTCCATCATCAGGAAACAGAAAGAGGGAAAACGTAGCAGAAAAAAAGCCCCAGTACAATTTACATGCTAATAGCTTGAGCAGCTGTGTAGGGTTCAAACCCGTAATACGAAAGTTATCCCCTAATTATAGTAATTGCAGAGAGAATTGCTTCCCTCTGACTTCTAAACACCCAAAAAATGTCAATTTTATTTGTGAGCAAACTTGCTTGTTTTCAATTTCGTTTGGGTTCGTTTGCATTTGTTTGAGCTGATTGAGCTTTATTGAACTAATTTAAGTGTGACTGGATTTGTTGATGGCTGTTTAGAATGACATTAGATTTTGTAGATTTTGGATATAATAAACTATGAAGAATATGGCTTATATTTACAACTATATTGTGTGTTTTTGACTACAAAATAAAGAGTGATTGTTTTAGATTTTCATCAAGATTATATCAGTTCAAACAGGCATGGCAGTTCTCTAAAAGTGGGCCACCTGAACTAACCAAAAGATAATCCACTCTCATGCTCCTTTATCCTGGATTAGATTGTACGCCGCCAGCACAAAATACTCCATTAAAATGCCCATATTTGAGAACATACACTTTTTTTTAAATGTGTACTGCACAGCCTTGGGTACAAATCCTGAGGATAAGAGATGCTATAGTTAGGTGTTTGTGCTTGTGGGAGACTATGAGAGCTTTATCCATCTGAGCTTGATTATAGAAAAGCCGGATGAGACTCTATAATGGAGGATCTTTATTCATGAGAAATAAAGCAGTCTCGGTGGAAAACAGAAGAAAATTACACTCCTCTACACGAGTCAGGATAATGTAAGCTGAACTGCCTTTACTTTGCTCTGTACACCAAGCAGCAGATAACACTGTCCAGACAGGTTTCCTGCGACAACGGCTCATTTTTCTGTACTGACTGCAGACACGCGATTACAACCAAAGTAAAGACTTTGAAAAACCAGTAGGAGCCATGTAACCAGAATGTGTTGCAACTTATAAAGTTTACAATCATAACAAAGCAACTTTTGTTTTGCATTGCTGATATCTCATTTTACTATAAATTTATTATTAACTCACCTTATTAATAATTTTGTACTTTTTTATTTTCTAAAATCATTCATAATCATTTAGAATATAGCAAACTTACAAAAAAAATGTTCAAGATACACTAATAAAATCTTATTATTATTCTTGCTAATCAAATTTATTATTTATGACAATTTATAGTCAGGGAAACAGCATGTTTTTTCTAGTAACAAAAAAAAAACAAAAAACTTTAATGTCAGGGAAACAGCATGTTTTTTCTAGTAACAAAAAAAAACTTTAGACATATACTGCATTAGCTTGTTTATGATGAAACCGCAAGAGCACAGAAATCAATGAGTGTGTATGCCATCAACAAACTAGCATTTTCAGTGGTGATTGGCCAATCGTTGCATTTACAATTTCAACAGAAGTGCATGTGATTGATTTTCTTAACACCATGTCTAGACAGGTTTCCAGCAAAAACAACTTGCAAAAAAAGAAGAAAAAAAAAACATTTAAAACCAGATCTGATGCAACAGGTGCTAATCTGAAAGAAA